ATCAATGTGCATTCTTTCCTCTGTGCGAGCTTGTATGATGGATTGTATCAATGGGCAGGTGGCCAGGCTACCATGTTTGACTTACTCCATTTTCCTAAGCATTTTTAGTACAAAACTGTATTAACAATTCCTCCCGGTTTATGTCAAACCTGTCAACTGTTTTGATGTATTTTATCTTTCTTTCTTTCTTTGTTTTTTTTTGTTTACAGAAAAGGGCTCCTACAGGTAGGAAATAACCCCACAGAAATAAGGCCCCACTTCCTGGGTTTTTATAAGAATGACAATACAGGGTGAGATTCTTTTACTTTTCATAGTGGATAGAAAAGTGGAATAAAAATCGAACAGGATCTTCTTGCTCTTGCAGGTCCTTGTCCTGTGCTTGGAAGGAGGACTACCTTCTGTCACATTGGATCAATGTGTATTCTCTGTGCCAGCTTGTAAGATGGATTGTATCAATGGGCAGGTGGCTAGGCTGCCACATTTGACTTACTCCATTTACCTATGATGGGGAGGAAAATATTATTTTTCATTTCATGCCTATTTTTTCTCAAGACAAATATATTGCTCACAATGACTGTAAAAGGCTCAGATTTTGGCATGCATGTGCATGTTAAATGAGCAGTGGTTGACCCAGTGCTTTGTGTATTCTATGTACACTAGAGCAGTGTTTCCCAACCTTTGGTAACCTAGTTGTTCTTCGACTGCAACTCCCAGAAACCACAGTTCAAGAACACCTTGCTGGGAATTACTGCAATAAAGCTCTGAAATAATATTCCTATCTGGTCATTCTGAAATCATCAATGTGGTTACAGGGGAGAGACGAGCCTAGCCCCCTTCTTGTCCTTTTCCTCACACAAACAATGACAAATCATAAGTTGATGACTGTGAGGAACAAGGGGAATAGTAACTAACAGGTCCTCCCACTCTCATTCCAGAGACCTAAAAGGATGAGGGACAAAGTAATATACAGGATCATTGTCCTCAGACAATTCCATGCTATAGAGCTTGATTATGACTGGCAACAGTAGGCTTCCTTGCTCTGTTACTGCATTTTAAAAATGTTTGGTCATATTCAATTGCAATATTTATGAAAACATAGTTAATAGGTTTCACAAAACTTGAGCTTGGTAAAAACAAATTCCAGACTGAGGTTTTCATTTGAGATACCTCTCTGTGGGTTAGATGGAAGCATACCATCTAAAGAATGGAATTTTAGTAGGGGGAAAAGCTTTATTTATTTATTTCATTAATTGCTAGTGAGCTCTGAATCTGATCTTCTGTCAAGGTCTCATGGGAGGAGGTAACACTCCGAGCTATCAGTACATTAATCATTAATGTGGTTATTTAAATGCTGTCACCACTATGCAGATGACACCCAACTCTATTTCTCCTTGCCATCTAAATCTGAGGAAGTTGTTTCAGCCCTTGATTAGCAAATGATGTCAGTAATGGATCGGATGGAGGTGAATAAACGGAAACTTAATCCAAACAAGACCGAGGTGCTCCTGGTGACTCAACAGGTAGATGCAGGCACAGGGATGCAGCCAGTGCTGGATGGGGTCGCATTCCCTTTGAAAACACAGGTGTATAGCTTGGGGGTACTCACAGATTCAAGACTGAGCCTGGATGACCAATTTTTAGTGGTGGCCAGGAGTGCCTTTGCACAATTAAAACTAGTATGACAGCGGCACCCATTTCTAGAGAGATCTGATCCAGCCACAGTGACACGTGGCTTAGTTACATCTTGTCTGTCTCTGGAAAATGTTCAGAAACTTCAGCTGGTCCAAAATGCAGCAGCCGGATTGTAAACTGGGGCTGGTTACAGGGATCACAAAACCCAACCACCAGCAGTTCTACTGACTGCCAATCCATTTCTGGGCACAATTTGAAATGCAGGTTTTAACCTATAAAGGCCTAAATGGCTCAGGTCCAAGCTATCTCAAGGACAGCATCTCTCTTTATGAGTCTTCTTAGGTATTAAGATCACCAGGAGAGGCCTTTCTCTCAGTCCCACCACCCTCACAGGTACATTTGGTGAGGGCACAGGAGAGGACTTTCTCCGTTGTTGCCCCCCAGACTTTGGAACTCCCTTCCACAGGAGGGCAGGCTTTGCTGCCCTTCCACAAGCAGGCAAAGGCTTTTCTCTTCAAACAAGCTTTTCTTTAATGACTGGCTGCCTGAGCTGGCTTCTTAAGTAGATCCTTGTGCTTTACTGCTGTGAATGTGTTTTGATGTGGCTTCTGTTTACCATCTTTTTGTGTAGTATTTGTTTGAACCTTTTTAGTATTTGTATATTCAATGTTGTTCGCTTTAAATACTGTCTTTCAATAACGTAAGCCACCTTGGGTCCTTCTCAAGGAGAAAGGTGGGGCGAAATATTTTAAATAAATAGGAGTACTCAGACCTGATTCTATATTTCCATCCAGGGATGCTCCAGTTCTCAGTGTGGTGTAGTGGACAGAGAGACTCAGGAGGCCAGGGATTGAGTCTCCAATCAGCCTTGGGAACTCACTGGGAGAGCGGAACTGGTAAAACCATCCCTTAAATATCTCACTTACGGTAGCTTGAAAGCCCTATCAGAGTTGTTATAAGTCAGTTGATGGCACAGAAAAATAAAGGAACAGGGGTGCTCTGGAAGTGTGCAGCTTGCCCAAGAGTCGGTTGGCACCGCAGGGAATCAAACTTTCAACATCTGGCTCTGCAGCCACATACTTAACTCACTGAGCTAACTAACCCATATCTCTGTCTTTTAACCTGTAGCTAGAAAGGCACTAGAGAGGGACGTGGTGGCGCTGTGGGCTAAACCGCAGAAGTCTGTGCTGCAGGGTCAGAAGACCAGCAGTCATAAGATCGAATACACGCGACTGCGTGAGCTTTGTCCCAGCTCCTCGCCAACCTAGCAGTTCGAAAGCATGCAAATGCAAGTAGATAAATAGGGACCACCTCGGTGGGAAGGTAAAACGGCGTTCCCTAGTCACGCTGGCCACGTGACAATGGAAATTGTCTTCGGACAAATGCTGGCTCTATGGCTTGAAAAGTGGGATGAGCGCCACCCCCTAGAGTAGGACATGACTGGACTAAAAATGTCAAGGGGAACCTTTACCTTTACCTAGAAAGGCACTCCACCACTATCAACCACATGTTGCAGTAATTAAAACATATTACGGGCTCACCTATTTCACAAATTGCAATATAAATTTTGAAACGTCTCGTAAACCCAGCATCTTCAGTTCCTACCAATGTCCCTAATGCCACCCTTATTGCTAACAACACTGTTCCCATAGTAACAAGACACTTTAAAAGAGAGACAATGGTTGAAGGGCTGTGAGAAGGTGAAGACAAATAGACAAAAGACAAATTATATTTGTCTGGGCCCAATTGACAGAAGCCAAATAATGGCACACTGTGAGGAGCTATAAAGTAGTTTATTGCTCTCACTCCAGACTTGTAACAATAAACTTTTACAGTGCACACACCTCTCAGTTTATTTGGAGGCAGATCTGGTTGGGAAAAGGGAGCAGAGTGGTCTGGAGGGCTTCCAGATCCTCATGTGCTACTTTCATGGGGAAAAAACAGTCACTCTCAGATAGGATGGGATTTGGGCTTCCAGATCCACATATGCTACTTTCATGGGGGAAAAACAGACATTCTCGGATGGGATGGGATTTAATAGAGGGCAGATGCTGAGGTTTTTATCGTTATTAGCTACTACGCTAAGAAAAGAGTCCAAGACTCTGGGCAGTAAGTACCCCACAATGGCTCTTAGAGGGGAACAGAACAGTCCTGAACTCCATGACGGGAGCCTGTGAAGGGCCACCTGCCCAGGTGGTCCCAGAGCCCGAAGGTCAAGTACGGGTCATCGGAAGCCAACCTTGTCCAACTTACAGAAAGAGGTTTGGAGAATGGACTGTGGCTGCCACGGACGCTAGCAAATATCTTGGCATTGCCTTTGTTCATAAAACGAGGGAAATCGGATGACATTTTCTGGCCGGCATGACATTTGGCCCTTGTGGCTGACAAACCGGCTCCCCCCCCTTCCTGGGGAGAGGCGACTCCTTTTTTTTTTTCATGCCAGAAAGATTCAAAAGGGCTTATTCCGTTTGTCTGTAGAGGAAGGGGGTGGGGAGAGAAAAGAGAGTTGGGAGCAGTGTGTGTGTGTGTGTGTGTGTGTGAGAGAGAGAGAGAGGGGGGGGGCAAAAAGTGTGTGTGTGAGAGAGGGGGGGCAAAAAGTGGGGAGAGATCACACACACAAAAAAACACACACAGTTAACCTGTCACGTTCAAAAAACAAAAACACCAGTCCACCCCCACCGCCACCCCCACCCAATTCATTCATTTATATCAACAGTTCAAGAACCCGCTCTGTTTTTGCCAGGCAAGTAAAGCAACGGAAGGGATCTGGAGGAAAGCCTTCTTCACAGGGCCTCTCAACTGCGCCACCTACAGGCACTTTAAAGGGAACTGCAAGTACAGTAGAAGGTGTTTTTTTTAAATCCTCCTCCGCTTTCAGGCCATTGATGGGGAAGGGAACCGAATACCCGCAGGCGACGTTGCAGCGAGAGGAGGAGGGGTGTGTGACTTCTCCTTTCCCTCGCTGTGCCGTCAGAGCTGCAATCCACAAAAGCTTATAGGCAAGGGCATTTTAAATTTAAAACGGCTATGAGACTTCGTTTCGTTTCGTTTCCTGCTGAAACAGACCCATAAAGGGGGCAATCTTTCTGCAAACTCTCATAGACGAGTGTCTGCCCCATTGCCTGTCAGGCAGAGCTTTGAGAAATTAAAATTCTTTCCCTACTATATCCAGAAATCCCTCCAAGCTGGGGGATGCAAGGAACTTAGGCCAACAAGGGAGAGAGAAAAAGTTTATTGATAAATTAAACTGACAATTTACCTTCCACCCTCACCAAGAAGCATAAATAAGTGTACATAATGTTCAGGAGCGCAGAAGGCCTATGGGGGCTGCTGGAAGAGACAAAGCGTAGGTGCGGGTGCCGAAACAGTCACCGTAAAGGGAACAAGTTAAAACACATCTCATTGGGGCAGCGGTCCAGATTGGTGTATTTTCTTTCCTCTTCGGCGTGCCACTCGTTGCCTTTGATGGGCAAGGCATTCTGGTAATAGAGATGGGGGGCAGAGTCTGCAGTGAGGTAGGGATCGTGCGGAGAGAGCGGAAGGGGGGAGGGGAGGTGGCCGCCATTATAATTCAGGTGAGGCTTTCCTTCATACAGATCCTCTCCCAAGGGACCCACGTTAGAGATGAATGAATGGTAGCCAACCTTTACTGTGGGCTCCCACCTAGGAGGGAAAGCCTGGACACCCAGATCAACTGAGTTGAGGGAAGCTAGTGTTTCACAGGGCAAAGCTGGAAAACATGGCGTCAAGCCGTTGCAGTATTTCTCGGTGGGCAGGTTTCTTCCTAGGTCTGCGTTCTTGTTCCAGATCGGTGGTTCTCTGTTTCCAGAATGCACAGAGACTGAAGGTTCAATTGGGTCTCGGCAATTAATGTATTCAGTGCTTCCCGTCTGTTTACACTTGTCCAAGTATTTGTTGTAGCCCACATCTGGAGCGTGCTCGATTAAGTAAGAGGCTTTCCCAGAGCTGGAGCTTTTGGCAGCAGGCAAACAATGGATCAGCATCTGGTCTTGAGGGGTTTGAGCTCTGAATTGTCCACTCAAACTCTTGGGTGACATCAGGTCTTCCTGCTTGGAAGCCATGAATGATAAAGTGTCCAGGCTTTGTGTCTCACCTGTCAGGAACTTTAAAAAGAAAAAATAGATCACAATGCATCAAACATTAAATGAGTTCCACTAAAAGGCTTTTTGTTCTTACATCAATGATAAGTGTAAGGAAACTTCAGGGTGTCCAAAACCCAGCTCTCTCAAGGACTGCATCTCCCTTGATGAGCTTGCTCGAGTGTTAGGATCACCAGAAGAGGCCTTTCGCTCCATCTCGCCACCTTCCCAGGTACATCTGATGGGGACACGAGGGAGGGCCTTCTCTGTGGCTGCTCCCAGACTCTGGAACTCCCTTCCACAGGAGGTCAAGCTAGCCCCATCTCTGCTGTCTTTCCACAAGCAGGCAAAGCTTTCCCTGAGTGATTGGCTGACTGAATGGGTTTTTTAAAATAGATTGTTGTACCCTATTGCTTTGGATGTGTTTTAAGGTTGCTTATGGTTTTTAGTATGTTATGGCTGAACTTGGCTGCAAAAATAAAGGCAATGTTGGTGCAAGTTGAATGGAAAATGGGCACTTGTGGGGGGGGGGCGCAGAATTTTCCATATCATATATTGCTTTCTCCTAGTATGATCAAGAAAGAGAATCTTGGAAGGGGTTATACAAAGGAAGTCCTAGGTTTTTGGGTTGTGTGACCAGGGGCAAGGAACCATTTCAGCCTCTATTGCTTCCCAATAATAACCTTGAGGAACCTTCTTCATAGGTTGGAATGGGTGACATTATCACTGCTGTCAAATAAATATATGTACATAGCCCTTCCTCACAGGATCCCCTCAAATTATATACAACAAAATACACAAGTCCTGGTAATTTAACCTGTTCTGTTTCCATGCAAGGTCCATCTGCCATGCTAGTAGGACTTTTGATTTCTAATACAATGAATGGTTACCTCCGTATCTCTGTTCCGCTTAAGTTTTGCAGAAGCTGATGTGTTGGCTTTTTGTATCGACCTTCTTGCTTCTGCCTCTGATTTTGTTTCAGGTCGCGGGTGATCGTGTGCCCCCTTTGACTTTGGAAACAAATGAACAAGCCATAGTTACATTAAAGGCAGCTTCAGACAGAATACCTGCTAGATAAAGGAATGGTAAAGTAAAAAAATATCTGAGTTTTTTCAAATATTTGCTTGTTGGATTTATATCCTAACCTTTTCCCAAAAATAGAATTCTAAACTACCGAGGCTCACATGGAATAAAAGGTACAATGAAAACATGAAACAAGAGCAGATATTACAAAATAATTCACTTAAAAGCAACTTAATTTAGAATAATTTAAGCACACAATTTAAAAATACATCACTAAACAAAAACACAAGTTCCACTCAGTAAAAAAGTATGCTTTGCAGGAACCAGCCAGTTGCCAAAAGCTTGTCTTAATTTAAGCAAATTGTTGCTGTTGTTGTGTGCCTTCAAGTCGGAACCAAATTATGGCAACCCTAATAAGACCTTCAAGGTATGTGAGATATTTGAGGAGTGGTTTTAACCCCAGTGAGTTTCCATGGCCAGACGAGGATTTCAACCCAAGCCTCCAAAGTCCTTGTCTGACACTCTGTCCACTAGGTTCCACCTGCAGGAACCAGCCAGTTGCCAAAAGCTTGTCTTAATTTTTTTTTTTAGAAGGTCATTGGCGAGTCAACAGGCATGCAGCCAGCTTAGACACTATGGATGTGGGAGTCTACAGCCTCAAAGTGGCTACCCCCAAAAAACCCAAAGTGGCCTTGGGGGTCTCACTGGACATGTGCGTTATGTGCCACTGAGTTGATTCCAACATACGGCCACTCTGGGTAGTGTGGGCGGCATATATATATATGGTTCCCTGGACAGAACATGTCTTTTTTTTTTCCTAGAGTGTATTCCATTGTAGGTAAGAGGTACTGTTACATGAAGATCTCCTGTCTTGTACATCTAGTTTGACCCTTGGCCCCTTCAGGTTTTAGTGGCACGACTGGTATGTATGACTGGCCAACTAATCAAGATAGTTGTCTATCTATTGTACAGCTTAAATGACTCTCCTTCAGTCAGTGCGGGGCACATACACACTTTGCATTGACTCTATCTAGCAACAGACTTGCCATAAAGAAACAAACTCACCTGGAAAAATATAAAGGGTCCTTCATGTCTCCAAAAGTTGGTTACAGGGTACCCACCATGGCCCCGGCAGGGAATGAGCTTCAAAGGTCCATTACAATTAGGACATGATTTCTCTGAAAGGAGTGAACAATTAAATACGAATTGCCTTAAATGAAGTGCCTTTTCTTGGTTAAAATTGTTCCTTGCTATCGTATTACATTATGTGCAATGCATTAGCATGCCATCAATATTGATGGTGTAATGTTTCATATTAATGTTTTATACAAAGAGGAAGACAGAAAGATTGCATGTGATCACATCACCACCAGTATCAAATCTCCAGTCCTGTTAGGTGTTACACATGCAGAGAGACCTGCAAACACAGTCTTTATTATATTGATAAAATAATAAAGGCAACCATGATAAAAACAGTACTTCTGTTAACAACAACAACAGTAAGCATATTACAGACAAACATATGCACTGTCTCTCTGGCCTTGCTAATTTCACATGGTTACCTATATGTGCAAACTCCCAGTACATATGCCAAACATAATAATAAAAAACTGAAAAACATTCTGATATCAATAGCAACATTAACAGAAATAATGATGACAGGAGAAGGGGAATATATATAAAGAATTAATTATTATATTAACCATTAATGGAATCAGATTATTTTGGTATCAAACATCTTATAAACTGTTCTGTCCTATATTTTAAAAGAAATAGTCATAACATTTCCTCAGTATCATGATCCTACAAGGTAAGTAAACCAAATCACCAATGAATCAAATCAGGCCCTATGAAATGCTTTGAAGAGAACAAACAATTAATTACGGACATCCTCTGGTTTCCTTCTTTCGGAAGGTGGGCTGACAGAACATTTCCCTGCCTGCTGCTCAGGTGCACTCCAGACATTCCATGTGGCAGGAAACCCTGCGTGAACATTCAAGTTGAGGCTCAGACTGTTCTTATAGTAGTGCAGGCCCGTCTAATGTCTCTCTTTTCCATGGGGGTGTCCTCCTTTAAGAGGGAACCTTAAAACATCTACATTGCTTATTAGTGGCAAATGCCATTCAGAAGGTAGAAGGTGTAATATAAATCTCTGCGTATTTTTTTTATATCACAGATGAACATGAAACATTTCTGCAGTGTTAATGTTCAGTCTGAAGAGCTGGAAGGCACCCTATGGATCATCGAGTTCAGCCCCTATAAAAGAGGCACAATGGGGAATCAAACATCCAGCCTCTGGCTCCACACCCAGATGCTTAAACCACTGAGCTATCTATCCATTGTATTGAAATGACAAGAACATCGGTGCATTTTTCACATGTCTGCGCTTTAAAGAAATAATGGCAGCATTTGTGCAAAATCTGTATATTGCACAGAAAAGTTTGCATTTTTCATAACACGCATAGTTTTGAATGCAAATGCAGGTTTTTACAGACAAAAAACCACAGGTCTTTGAGAATGCTGTTGCTGGTCTGTCCCCTCTCATGTAGAGTGTTTTGACACATTGTGGAGATGGGGAAAAATGCAAGTATTTGTGCATTGCTAGATGGAAGGATGGCGGAGCGGTGTGCTCCCCAAATGTCCAATCCTGTCACAGAAAAGACGCTCATGCAGGAGACTTGCTATTAAATTGTTAGCCTTTCAGTCCTCAAATTCGTTATGAGAGTTATTTCTCTGAGATCCCTTCAAATCGGCTAATTTTGTGTAAAGTGCTTCAAGGTTTGCTTGCAACCTTTTCATCAGCTCTGTTGTGCCATAATCTCTGCCCTCTTTTTTGGAGGGGACACACTTTCACGATATCCAAAAACTGCTGGATTTGGCCTACAGGACACTGTAATGCTGAAGCTACAGATAAACTGGGAAGGTTGCAATAAAGTGAAAAATTTGTCAGGTTGGTTTGTGGGGGGGCGGGGAGGGACATGACTGCCCATAGTGCTGCTGTTGCTGTGGTCATCTCCTCCTTTTTGAGTATGTGGCACAGGGCTGGCACATGACAGTCTCAAGAGTCTTTGCCATTATCAGATGAGGCAGACAGTGGAGGTGGTGCCATAATATGCCTCCTTCTTTCTTTCTTTGAAAGAATAGCCATTCTTTCAGGAAGGATGCCATGGTACAACACTTTGCTTCCTGTGGCAAGTGGTAGTGAGCATCCCCCAAAGTGAGTAACATTAGGAAGTGTCATTGATCTCCCTAATATTCCCCCTCAATTTACTTTTAAATCTGACGTCCTCTAAAGTTTGGCACCCTGAAGCAAAGCCATGGTTGCTGTGCTCTAGTCACAGCTTTGTGCACTAAACAATCTCCACCTTTTCATAAACGAGATACTTACTTTGCTGCTTTTGCCTGGCCTTATCACATATGGCTGGCCTGAGATACATCTTCCCCCCATCAGGGGTCGAGCAGTCGTTACTACAGACCACGACGCCAAGGCAAGACTTCTTTAAGATGCGAGAATTGTGATTGTTGGTGTTCCTCATTGCCCAGCTACTCAGGTGCCTCTGCGCATTTTTGTCCTCAGCGTTATAGATGCACTTTACATAGGAATCCGGCCATTCTTGAAACCAGTCGGTTTGTTTCACATCCTGTTAGGAAGCCAAAGAATGTTAAGTTTCAGACCATGGAAACAGAGTGCCGGTGCTTTCCCTATCTTGCAAATGCCAAAGTCTGTAGATCAGGTCAACAGGCTGGACTCAGATGACTTGAACCACTCAGACAGCTAAGCTCATTCAGACATTATACAACCCAGCACTGTCAACATAGTCAGAAAGAATTCCTGCCCTCCCCACCCAATTTTCATTCTTCAGATAAGCAATAGAGGGTCTAAAGATGAAAAAAATCTTGGAAAATATGGATTCTTGCTTGTGTGGAGAGCCTACTGGGTCATCCCCATGTTCTACAATGAAAGCATGAAAAAGTTACGAGAGAAAAGATTGGGGATGGACCATCCATTCTAAGTGTGTTGGGAGCATTGGATTCTATAATGCCTGATATACAAATACAGGAAAAGAGATACTTTATCTATGTGTGAAGATGGAAACAGAGCTTGGGAGACCCCGATCCATGGCCAGGGGTCCTCAACCCTTAGTCCGTGGCCCGCTACCAGTCCTTGGCTATGGCAGGACTGGGCCACAGAGACAGATCTCCCGCCCCCCTGCAATCACACCACCTGCATGCACAGCCTGCCACCCACCCACACGGGTGCCCCATTGACCCACGAGCACACCCCTCTGTGAGCATCACCCACCCTTCCGTGCATGCGCATGTGTGCCATGCCCATCTGCTAGCACGACCCACCCACGAGCGCAGGAGGCTGCCCCCCCACATGCACGGACCCCACCCCCCAACTGGTCCATGGTTGGGATCCACTGTTCTAAAGAAGTCTCATGGTGCAGTGGTTAAATTGGAGTATTGCAGCCAAAACTCTGCTCACAACCTGGTTCAATCCCAGCTACCCAGTTGGAAGTTCACTCTGCCTTTCATTCTTCTCAGGTTGGTAAACTGAATACCCAGCTTGCTGCAGGGATGCATATGAATAACTGAATTGCAAACCACCCAGAGACTGTTTTAAGTGTACTTGCTATAGCATTTGAAAAGTACCGTAATTCTTTGCCAGGAACCAATCAACCAACCAAAACAGAAACCCCTCACAGTTAATTGCTGTGTTGCTCATTATTTTTGTTCCTTTATCGAATCATAGAAAAGTGAAGTTGGAAGGGGCCTACAAGGCCATCAAGTCTAACCCTCTGCTCAATGCAGGAATACAATCAAAGCTTATCTGCCAGGTGATTAAGTTTTTCTTGAATGCCTCCAATGTTGGAGCACTCACCAATTCCCGAGGTAACTGGTTTCACTGTCTTATATTTAAGACCTTGGGATTAAGTGACATAAAACATGTACTGTACATTCCAGCCAAAATCCCTCTAAAATGCCCTCTCAAGGGTAATGTTTAAAAGCACCTTGAAAACTCTAATTCTAGAACCTATAACTATATTTCTTTTATATTATTTTTGAACAATAACTTCATTGTGTCTTCAATACAAAAAAACTCTTGTTGTTGTTGTTTAGTCGTTTAGTTGTGTCCGACTCCTCGTGACTCCATGGACCAGAGCATGCCAGGCCCTCCTGTCTTCAATACAAAAAAACCCCTACTTTATAACAATACTACTTAGTTCATAAAATCATATGTAGTCATGGAGTTGGAAAGGTCCTATAAGACCATCAAGCCCAACCCTCTGCTCAATTGCAGGAATCTAAATCTTTACATACAAGCTCTGGTTGGGAGGAACACATGAACACATGCATGCAGACATAAACACTTGTGTTTGGGGGCTGGGATTCCTATAGCTTTCCACCGGACATGTACAGCTTTCACTTTCAAGATTGGCTCTAAGCCATATCATGTGTAGAGTAAATATCTGAAGTTTGTCACAATTAAATTCTCACTGAAGAGAGGAAGTGTGGATTCAAGCCATAATGTTGTGTTTTACTTTAATATCATGAAGTGGAGGCATGGAAAAATATTTTTCTTCCAGCTAGCTGGTTTGCTTGTAGTTTCTTCAGATATAATGGTGTAAACAATGGTTTGCTGATCTCAAACCTGAGAGGTCTGATCAAGTTGTCTGGTTTATTTTATATCTCTGTGAAGATCTTGCAGGACCAGGCAGATACCATCAGAAACTTCAGGACCGGTGGGACAGATGGAAGCAAGCCCTATGGTATCTATTGCTTGAACAAAGTGGTACAAAATAACCCAGCTAAATATCAAGTCAGCAACAGTGATGGTTGTTTGGTTCTGCACGCTTTGTACACTGTTTATATCATTCAAGACATCCCAGTACTGTACTATTGGTACAAATCTGTAGCTTCACTGTGAATGTGTTTGTATCAAGCACATTCCAGAAACGAGAGATCGTATGCTCCTGTTCAAAGAGGTCACCGAGCAGTGGCGGTGGGTGTCCATTTTGTTGGTGGGGTAGTAGGCACCATGGAGATGGTTTCAGCCAGGGGTGACAGTCAACACTAGGAGCAGGAGTGAGTATCCATACATATACACATAGATGTTATCCATATCTGCCTGGCACTCCCAGGTATGAACATGCAGAACAAGTATTCCTGCAGTGGGAAGGGGACACAGGCAAGGGGGCTGTTCTTCTGTCTTTGGTAAGACAGCAGGCAAGAGTGGGTTAGCTGGCCGTGGCCTGGGCCTGAGGTGGCGCAGTGCCTCACTTGCCCTAAGGATGGGTCTCTACTACTTTCAGGGGATGTTTTTGAAAATTCTGGCTATGTTTTTTCTTTCTTTCAAACACTCCTAAGAAGCACATTTGCTGTCCGGTATGATTCTATTCATTTCCTTAATCTTAATAAGCAGCTTCAAGGCCCTGCTTGCCCTTCTTATGGCTGTCTTTCAGCTAGACTTAGACTACACAAGCTGTCCAAGTGGAGGGTGATCCACTGGCAATCCTTCAAACCCACCACACAGAGGACTATCCTTTTTAATTAACGTAGGGCTCCTGGGCAGCCTGCGCTGTGTTTGGTTTGGTTCATGATGATCCAGCCAGACAACTGACACATCTTGCTACCCTTCTAGTAGGTAGTGGGCAGACACATCCCCTGGCTCGGCCTTCCATGGCATCCAGTCTGCGGGGTGATGGACTAGATGAACTAAAATAACGAGAAGATTAATACATTTCTTATAACACTGTAATAGGGTTGTTGTTGTTTTTAATGACTATCTAACCACAATCTTGCAGTGTGAAAAATTGTGGTTTCCACGTACTAAAACCAACAAACCACGTCGACTCATTAGTAGTTTTTGCACAGATTCCACTAACAGAGTACTGCTCAAAAATTACGTCTTTCGAGAGAACTATCATTACATAAACACAAATGGATCCATTATCATGAAAGTCTGTTTGTTGCTCTTTGACCAGCGCTGTAGATAGACAAGGCCCGACCTTGCCAAATTTAGTAATCTTAAAAACCACCCATTGCAATATTAAATAACACAATAAGTTTTCATAGTTGATACCACGGAGCTTGTGATGTTACAGATTACATTAGAAGAGGGAATTCTGAAAGTGCTGAAAATATCTGATGGTTACAGGAAAACGTTTCCGCACATCCTGTAGCTTCCATATCAGCTTTCTTTGCTTTGCATTTGGTCAGCACAGGTTTTATTTTCCAGTCCAATGTCTCAGGCAAGAATGTCTGCTTGAATCATGTCTCTAGAATACAAAGGGACTTCACCTTCTAATGACAGGCGACCTGTCATCTATAATTCGGCTCTGAGCAGTTCTTGGCTTTAGGTTGTATTCAGTGCTTGATGATTGCCTGTCCAACAGTGGAACCCAGCAAAAAAGGGAATGATCTCCCCTTCCTACTGCAGTCCTTCACCACCCCAAACAAAACAAAACAAAACAAAAAATGTTCTAAAGGGCTGGGAAATCCTCTGGAACCCATTGTTGGGCAGCTCCTGGAACTTTAGGGTACAGGAGGAAGGACCAAACTTTGGTGACGTGTGCCAGCACCATGTTGAATTTTTATGTTTGACTAAATACCCAGGCCTTTGCACTGGCCTGCAGCCCTCTTCTTCTTGAATAAAACATTGTGTTTTTTTTCAAATGCCTGACAAATTTCTTATTCTAGATTATTGTCTTAACACAGGCCAGAATCTTATTGGGACTTTACTCCTCATTAAGTGAAATCACATATGTTATGTTAGCAAATGGCAGCTAATTAACAAGTTATCAATCATGTGTTGTTTGCACACCAGTCCCATGACCAGGTAGGTGGTCGAACGCATGACAAACCCCTTCTTCTTATCAGCAATTTGTTACCATGACTTGTGCAACTTCACTTACTCCAGAATTAAATCCAAGTAGGATCCTCACCAACGATCGTCAACACACAACATAATATGACCTAAAAACTAATGCAGATGTGCAGAAAATGCAGCATTGGGGCCAGGTAGAGGTCCCAGAACCAGCCGGAGTTACGTCAGAGCTGCCCCTGCAGCTTGATTGGCCAGTTGGGCTGCAGAGAGAAGAGTGTGCTCTCCTGGGCTTCTGAAGTAATGTTGGGGTAGGTGGGAGGACTGAAAATTTCTGTCAGGTCCCAACAGTTGCATTCTCCAAATCACTGCTATGATGGGAATGTGTGTGCATGCTTGTGTGCATGGATATGCTCCTGGCACATCAGCCAAACTGAACACAGCCCTCGGGGCTGAGCAGTTTGTGTACCCTGGGTGTAATAGAAGCGTTGTTAAAGTTTAAAAATATTCATTTATGAGTTGCTGTGGGTGCAATCAAACACACTTCAATGGGACTTACACAATCTACAGCAGTTCCTGGTGGAATGCAGTGAAAGAAAGAGAAAGAAAGAAAGAAAGAAAGAAAGAAAGAAAGAAAGAAAGAAAGAAAGAAAGAAAGAAAGAAAGAAAGAAAGAAAGAAAGAAAGAAAGAAGCTGTGTTGATAAATCAGTCTTCAAAGGAATGAGATAGTCTACCAAGCCCATTCTGTGCCACCCTAATGAAAGATATCCAATAGTCCAGTTTCTGAATCCCATTTTACAAAGCTTTAACATGGCACCACTGACAATCTAGGCATACAGGCCAATGTCCTGTCACTAGTTCCAATTAGAGTAGACTTATTTACTGTACTCAGTTGGCTTTACATAATTACCCTTGTTACTTAGCAATTGATTTAGTGGGTCTGCTCTTAGCTTGGACTAGCAACAGGACTTTAGTTCCTATTCACATCCTTGATATTGAAGGCATTTTCAGATGAGGTTTTATTTTTCCCTGCTAGGAGATAGACTGGACCATGCAGCTATTCCATTATTTCTCCTTGTTTTCTGGATAAAGAAAAGAGGTATAAGAAACAGCGGGAAAAGGAAGATTATCAGAGGAGAATAGCGTCATCTAAAACATCTGTAAAACACGTTGAATGAGGCAGAGTGATGCTGTATTAGAAACCATCTCTAAAATCTTCTGGAAATTCCCAGTGAATTTCAACAGCTGTCAGTTGCAAGCCCAAATCACATCTCCGCATGATGTTGATGTTGTCAATGAGCTGCATCTAGACTTCCTCGTACTTAGAGTAGACCCACTGGAATGAGTGGGACGATTTGTTTACTGTTTGGGAGTCATGAATAACCGTGGAATTCTAAACATGTCTGCCCAGGAGTCAGTCCTGCTGAGCTGAACAGGGCTTATTCTGAGGTAAGTCAGTATAAAATTGCAGCCTTGACAGGACTTCAATACACTCCTGTTCCAACTCCTTCTGTTGTCTCCTTGGGGCCAAGATCTGCCTTCTTTGCCATACATGACTCTGTAGCAGGGACAGGAATCCAGTGATGCTGCAGATGCTGGTAGCTTCCAACTCCCCACAAACATGGCCAATGCCCGGGGATTATGGCGTTTGTTATCAGGAGCCAAAAGCTCCTGATAACATTTACAACATGCTAATATAAGCTGATGGTGTTACAAAAATAAATCAATAAATGTAGAAATAATATAAACACATAATTTTAAGGACACATGATTGTTTTGGAAGTCACCTTAGAAGAGTTGCCATTTCTGAAACGATCTTGCAGTACACCTACCTTGGGGAGTTTGATGTCGTTAATATCCCAGCTGATGCTTTCCCTATGTTGTGAAGCCAAGCCTTCCTGTCCTGCACTCCCATCCTCTGCAGCTCTCCGCATTGTAGCCTTCACACTTCCCCTGGACTTTACAAGAGCTGTCTCCCTTGACAGCTTTTGAAGTTGTGTGGCAGGCACTGCTTGCAAGCCATCTGAAACCAGGAAGCGGCTTCCTGAAGCTAAATGATAGGCTGCTCATTAAAGATAAAAATCTGTATTCTTTTGCTAGAAAAACTTGTTCCATTAAAAGTTTTGCAAGCAGCAAAGATAATGGAAAGTATAGCTTCAAGACAAGTGTGTGGTCTCATATAGAGGACTTTACTACATATGAAGCAAAGGGCCCAAAATATAGGTTCTTTTCTTTGTTGTAGAATTTATGGAACCAAAATCACACCGGTTTATACTAGTTAAACTAGTTATCCATTTTTGTGGACTGTAAGACACATTAGCAAGTTGTTCATCTGCTCATTTAGAGATGTGCATCAAGAGTTAAAACAATAGTAAATGCTATTATTTGCTCCTTTCCACCCGCCCCCAGGTAGAATGCTTAACATGCTGGTTTCATGGCTTCTAGCAATCATTGGAGTCCAAACTAATGATGTAAGTTAGTCCATTCAGTTATGTCAGAGCTAAAACAGACCAGACGCAGGAGACCTGTCATCAGATCTCTGGCCACTTCTGTTTTTAGTTTAAATAATCTTTAGAGCAGAATTGGACCAGTGCAGTCAAACTGCAAGAAGAGAATTGTTTTCTCTGTGCAGTTTCTGTGATCCAAATTCATACTGGTGTGTTTTCTTAAGAACTGCAAAAATAAGAGTTTGGGGAGTGTGATTTAGACTAAGCCAAAGAGCATGAGGCAGAAGGTTAACCCTGCTCCTGCAGCAGTGTTGTGCTGATCCAAATTTCGCAGCCGCTAGAGCTACTATACTTGGCAACATCCGCATTACGGTGTTGGTCATTGGCTTGGATATGTAGCTGCAGATGCTCCCATGATGGGCAAATTACCTCACTTTATTTGTCGAGAAAGAAGGGTGGGTCAAAAGGTACTTAAAGATCTGCAGGTAGCTGCCCAGATGACCTTCGGCTGATCAGCAACAGTGACAGTAATATGCCTTATTTCTTTCCCGAAAGCTTCAAATCCACCAAGTCTAATCTGCACTGTACAGAACAGACCACACCGTTGGGCACCATGCATGTTGAAATGGCAGCAATCAATGGGGAGTATTTTTGCTCTGCCATGGACACTCACACTTTCAAAGAGGTTTTTCAGAGTCAAGGATTGAATGTAGATCCAATACATAACTAACTAAATAAAATAAACATTGCAGTGAAATGTTTAAACAAACAAACATGGCATTTGCCACCTGATAGATTTGCTAAAATGGTTTTTAATCAGTCAAGTAAATGCTGGAAATGTCATAAAAAACGGGAACTTACTCTCACCTTTGGTGGTCATCTGATAAAAAAAGTTTTGGATAAAAATACATATATGGCTTATTAAAATTATTGAAAAAACATGTAGATTTTAAGACAGAATTCCTTATATTAGGTATAATATCAGAAAATGTTGATGAACAAAATGTATATTTAATACTGCATATTTTAACATCCATGGGGTTTATATTTGCACAGTACTGAAAGAATGAAGAAACACCTCTGGATGAAGAAATAATTAAAAAGATACTGGACAGACTGACATTAAAAATCAAAGCGAAGGAAGATTCAGAATACTATTAAACTTGGAATCTGTTTATCAATGGCTAGAAGCATGTTGCATAGATTAAGGGCTTAATATGTATTCTAGTTGTATTAACAAATAACTATAAGCGGAACCCAAGGGACACAATGTTAAACAAGGACGGAAAGACTTATTATT